GAAGGTGGCTAATACTATTTGGCTTAAAATTGTACTGTAAATTTATAGGCTCCATTTCAGAGATTTCAGTATAAATACTATATTGTGATTTAGTCCATTCTCTTTCAAATTCAGCCCTTATAACTGCTACAATTTAAATTTGTCATTTATTCTGTCCACATGGTGATACTTTCACAGCTTCTACGGATTGGTTCCTTCATGCAGCAGTATTTATTGAGTATCGGCTGTGTGCCCTACGGAGCCCTGGTGGCCCAGTGGTTAAGAGCTACAGCTGCTAACCAAAAGGTTGGCAGTTCGAATCTACCAGCTGCTTCTTGGAAACCCTATGGGACAGTTCTGCTCAGTCCTATAGGGTCGCTATGAGTTGGAATCGACTCGACAGCAGGGGATTTTTATTGGTATGTGCCAGATAGTTTGCCAGGCACTGACAGCACAGCAACAGCAACCAGTCAAAAGCCTCACTCAGCCTGTAGGAGACGCAAGCTGCGTGTGTGCCCTACGGCGTTAAGTTCTCCAGTAAGGCGGGGGCGGGAAAGGGAGGTGAGGATTGTCAGAAATTGGCTGCGTAGGCTGCAGAATTTCTTCTGTGTTTGTTTTATTGAAATCTGAGGGCATATTTAATCTGTGATAATTTCAGTAACTGTGCCTTCATTTTCCATAGCTTTAAGTGTTTTGAGGTTTTAAAGGGGTGTGCCTTACTTTGAGCACTTTTTCTTTTCCAGCCGTGGTGTGGTGGGGCGATTGTTTTCCTCACACTGCCAGGAAGTGTCTACCTTGTTCAAAGGCAGAGCTTTAATCCAAAATTGAGACTAAATCCTGCAGGGAGTACCTAAAGTCACGTTGCATGTGAAACTTTTTTCTTGGCAGTTGGACAGTAAGATTGTGGGGTGCCCTTTCAGCCAGAGTTAATACATTATCTGCCTGGAGAAACCAACTCAGAGCACGCCATCAAGAGCTGAGTTTCAGCGTTAGCAAGCCTCTGTGTCCCTTTTTCCATCTCTGGTTCCTGGGATTCCAGCCCACATTGTGCACGAACTGCAAATTTTTCCTAAGACTGAAGTAGGACCTGTATTCCAATTTCTTAACTTACTCACGGTGGTGCTCTCTGTCCTGCTAACATTTCAGCGTTAACCAAGAAATAAGATTCTGCCTTGTTCTTTTCTGGCTCGATAGTTTTAAGCGTCCGGTTTCCTCATGAATCAGCACTAAGCTCTGTCTTCACTGTTATCAGTTTTCTGGAAGGTGGTTCCCAGTGCTGCTCATTTAATGACGGGCATTGGCCTGGGCAGATAAAGGGGAGGACGAAGTCCGCCGGACCTCTGCAGGGCATTGTTTGTGGAAGGCTCTGATCTGCTAGTTACTTCCCAGGGAAGAACATTGGGGTGCACTCAGGATCACACACACACATGCCCCAGCCATCATTTACTGTGGGTCTCTAGATTGAAAGGGCTGTAAAATTTGTACATGGTTTTGAAAATATTGAAAAGAGTATTTTGACCTTTATATAAATCTCAGTCTCCTTTGAATACTATTTAGTGTTTGGTTTGGGAAACTTAAAAATTCCCAGAGGGGGAGCTAAAGGTGATGAAAAGGACTAGAACAAATCGCACCTGAAATTCTCCAGAGAATGTGATTACTCCAGTAGAGCTTTTCATGACTTAGCCTAATGGAATCTTGTCCTGTATGTTTCTTGTCCCTCTGTTGCCAGGAGCTATAAACAAACTTAATGTGGTTAGACAGCAGAAGTTGTAATAGATTATCTTAATGAAGTTGTATCCTGATAGTTTTCTATATGACCTCGAGTGGGGTGGGAGTACGCTGACAAATCTTGGTACTAAATAAATTTGAAGTTAGTTTTTATATTCTGAGTATCCAGCTGCATTGTTACATGGGATAAATACTGGGCAATATTTTTTGCTAAATTTCTTACTTACTTGGGGGAAGGGAGAATGCTTTACCCTAACTTTTGAATCACCTTTTCCGAGAAGGTGCGACTCAAAGCATAGGCAGTGTTGATTGTCACATTTGAGAACCACGGCTTGGTAAGTTGTCGTTTTGGTTTTGCTGCAAGCAAGACAGTGCTCATTTAGTGTCTTGGGGACCCATTACTAATTTTCAAAAAACAGAGAAAAATAAAGTGGAATAAGATATGAAATGTTTTAAATGTAACTGCAACAAAAATCTTTGTAATTGCCGTTATTTTATGTTGGCAGGGTCTGTGTGACTGGTCTTCCGCTAAAGTAGCTTAGTAAGTAAGCCTTGTCACTTTGCTTCACGCACTACCAAACAGAGTTAACTTGTACTGAAATTCGCTTAATAAACTGGAGATACCTCCAACAGGTAGATAGCATTTCTCTTTTTGTACTAATGCAGAATAATGTACAGTAGTGGGTAAACATTTTTAATCTCATGAAAGCATATTAGTTTTCTACTTTCTCTCTGGAAGGACTAATGATTTACCACAGTAGAAATTTTTTTTTCAGCTTTTTGATGGCCGTGTCAAAAAAGTCTACATGTCAGTAATAATGTGTAATGCAAATGGAGGAGAAGCTAAAGAACGTGGTGGCTCTGTAGCTGAGTTGGTGTCCTTTCTTTGCTTCTGCTGTAGCACAAGTGGACGTGCTGTCCGCGGCACTGCGCGCCTCCCGTCTGGACGCTCACGAGGAGACTGTCAGTACAGAGAAGAGAAGTGATTTGCAAGATGAACTGGGTATAAATGAGCTACCAAATGTTAAAATAAATCAAGACGATTCTGTGCCTTTAATCAGCGATGCTGTCGAGGTAACAAACTCAGTGAAGTGTTGATCAAGTGAGAGCAGTTTGAATCAGAAGTGTGTTGTTGGGGTAGTTGTAACTAGTCTCCTGCTGGTTAGCACGTTCTGTGTGTTCCTGATTTTCCAGCTATCCCTATTGCATAAAGTAGAAGTAATTGTTCTCACCACATGCTGTCTTTGTGACCTTAGCGTCCTGTGAAATCCTTGGAAAGGTCAATCCAATTCTGTCTACATGACCATTTTAGTAGCCTCAATGTTAATGTAGCTCACTGCAGTGAAATAGTCTTACTGGAAACAAAGCCCTTTATCAAGAATTATTAACTCTTCCCTTTTCTTTTTGGAGAGGTGCTTTGTTTCTGATCGGACCATTTCACTGCAGCAAGCAACACAGTATTCTGAGCAGAAGATCGGGACTTGAGGCCATGTTGCGGAGGGCCAGTGACATTATCTGGACTCTGGAGTGTGAGGGTGGGTACTTCTGCTAGCATCACCTTTGATATGTACTTGTGGCTGTTCTCAATGACCCTGCCCGGTTTCCTGCTGCGTCCCCATCGGCCAGCATCACTTGATGCCAGTATTCTCATCCCTTATTTACATAAACAGGAGAAGGTCACACTGATTGCCAGAATCAAATGAGCACGTGTCGTAGTGGCTTGAACGATAAGCTCATGTTGGGGATGGCAAGAGGGCTTTGCTAGCTTTACTGTGTTTGTTTGCTTTTTGTGAGATGACATTTGCTATAGCTAAAATCTGTATAATACCACTGCTTCAGAATGAAACCCTGAAAAAATGAAATTAAAAATAAGTTTTAAAGTAATTTTGAAAGGGTCCAAATGTCTAAAATTAGCTTATTATAAAAGAGTGTTTTGATGGTTTTTTAATTGCTTTATTAGAAGCCATAGGATGTCATTCGCAGTTTTTCTTAGGCTACTGATTCTGGTTTTGGCTGTTAATATCTGACTTCACAGATACAGTTTATAATAGCCAAATAGGCCAAAAAACAAAAAAACAAAGGCCTTCTAAAGTACAGATATGTCATAATACTGAAATCTTCATTCTTTTTGGAATCCATTTTAAACATTTAGCAACCTGGTCAGCAAATTTGATTTAAGGCAGGGGAAGTTCCTATGAGGTCTTAGGTATGTTTATAACCTTTTTAAAACATGCAGAATTTATATGTATTTATATCTTTTGGCAGTCTTGAAAGGTAAGTACCTTAGTGTTGCTGTGTGTTTATGAAGTAACTTAATAAGATATTTTAAATGAGGAAAACTTCCAGACAAGACAGATCTTTAAGTAGGTATTTTTTTCTAACAGAATATGGACCCCACTCTCCGCTATATTCATGATTCTGACCTGAGCACGAGTAGTAGTTTTAGCCCTGACGAGGAAAGGAAATCTAAAGTACAAGTAAGTGACCAAAAAATGGTTTATTGTGTGTGTTCTTAATTCCTCTTTTTAAGGCCCATTTCTAACCTAATTTTTATCCGTTTTTATCACAAGTTTTTTTAAATCGAAAGTAGTATACTTTAGGTAAGAAAATCCAAATCGTAGAGAAAATAAAATACAAGCAAAAGTCATCATCTTCCGCACACCTGTGATCCCATTCTTCATTCAGAGTAACCACTGATCATAGTTCCTTCTGTATTTTGAGACATTTTTTGTGGTTATATAAACATATATATAAAAAACAAAAATTACTGTTGAGTGGATTCCGACTCACAGTGACCCTATAGGACAGAGTAGAACTGTCCCGCGGGGTTTCCCAGGAGCAGCTGGTGGATTTGAACTGCTGACCTTTTGGTTAGCAGCCAAACACTTAACCACTGCACCACCAGGGTTACGTAAACACACATAGGTGCACTTCTTTGTCATCCAAAGACGAATAGAATCATGCCATCATACCTAGCTATCGTATCTAACTTGCCAGGAATTGTAAGTTACAGCACTGTTTCAGAGATTAAAATATGGAAAGATGGCTCAGAACCATTGTAAACTGCCATCTATTACACACTGGATTCCAATTTCAGGGATTTTAAAGGTGGGAAAATAGGCACAGATTAAGAGAATCATTGAATATGATAATTTATACCTTGCTTTCCTTCTTCTTTTTAAGCATATCTGGAGCTCTTCCCCTCTCAGCATATAAGGCCGCCCTCACACTGTTCATAGCAGCGTAGTATTCCACTATAAGAAGATACTGTAAACAGTTCTTACTGATTGTTTAGATGCTTCTAGTCCAAGCAGTGCCACATTC